GAGAGAGAGAGAGAGTGGGATGGAGAGAGTGTGAGAGTGAGACAGAGAGAGATAACAAAGAACAGAAACTGCCATGCAAAACAAGTGTTGGCACTTGTGTTGCCCAGCTGCCACTAACAGCAGAGACTTCAACTTCCTGCTGTTGCGAGTGCTCTGTTTACTCATCGCAGCCAGTGGAAAAATCAGGGGATTTTTTTGTTTTTTAATCATACCTACTCATATCAGCTTTCTGCACAACAATGAGATAAACAAGCTGAAATCGTTGGTCAATATCAAAATGTAATTTTCTTCTAGACAAATGTTTTTTTCTTTTCTTCATCTTAATATTTCATTATTTGCATTCTGCAATACAAGAGTTAAGATCAGAATGTATTATCAGAAATCTGTCCACGTGGTTTCTAAATAGAGCACTCCTTCTTCTCTGAGCTGAACGGAAAAATGTTGTCAGTTAAGACTGTACTTGTCAAAAATATTTGGTGGCACGTGATATAACGTGATATAACATAATCCACAACATAATGCACACTGAAATAACACAGTGTGCGGTGTGTCATCTTCCTGTAAGTGTCGGATGTTGCTTATACATATTTTGCAACTCGTGCACCCGTCACCATGGTAACGCATTCAAACAAGCAGCAAGCAGATAATGCAAATTGGGACTTTTGTAGTGTATGTGCAGATGCCACTTTTTCCAGCAGTGGATATGCTCTTATTTAGTTCTACATTTTAACTATTGATAATGTGCTTTCAAAATAGCTTTGAATACATCTGCACAGAAATTCTCTCACAATACATTGAACACTTTTTTTCTGTGTGGGAACCAGAGCACATAAGTCACTATGGAGACAAAGTCACGGGTAAATAGTCAGAGTAAGAGCTCTGTCCCTGTTTATATTGCAAGATCTTCCCAGGTTCGGTCTCTTGTTTTCATTCACGCTGCAAATGATCATCTGCTGATATCCCCAAATTCCCAAAGTAAATGTTATTCCTATTCCTTCTCACCTTTACTTTGGTTCATATGTGTGGCTATTTGAATAATAATAATAATAATCTGCATTTAGCTTGCTCGGCCTAGATGGCATTTTTGTTTTCATCTTAACAAAGTTTCTCCTTTACTCATGCACACAAAGCCAAGAAGACTAAAACTACACACACACTGTGTCCTAGTCTTCAGATTTTATTGTTCAACCTTTCATTGATCTATAACTTTAATATTTGATTTGTACAAAAAGCACGGTTTTGAAGTTTACTGACAAATCCAGACAAATTCCTTGGCTCTTGCTTTAGAGATGTTGTCAATGACAATTTGATTGTTTATTATCAGCTTGGTTGACCAAAGTGCTTTACAAGTGTTGTACATTTTACCTTTAAGTAAAAGGTACAACAAGAAAACAGCAATACATAGTATATCAAAATGCTAATGATAAGAAGAAAAGAAAAGAAAACCTGCTGGAATATAAACATTCTCAACCACCTTTGGGGCAGCTACTGCAAAGACCAGCAGCATTTTGGACGAGCTACAGGACATTGAATGGATGAATGATTTAAGCCTACATATAAAGATTTACAGTAATCAAGTGTAGAAGTTATGAAGGCATGGATCACCCTCTCTAGATCTTTAGGTGGGAGATAGGTCTTTACCAAGTCTCAACTGACAGAAGCTAAACCTACCAACAGAGGAAATCTGCTTGTCAAATTTAAAAACACTGTCAAAATAAACACCAAGACTCTTCACAGAAGAGTGAATATTAGGGGCTAGAGGACCAAGGATGCCTGCATGCAGCATTCTAACGTTAAGTTTAAGTTCATCCATGATTTAATGTCATGTATGCAGTCAAACAGGGGCTGCAGTGAACTATTTGTACATCATCCGCAACACAGTGGAAAGAGACATCATATTTTTCATAAATTTAGACCAGGGGCAGCATATATAAGGAGAATAGGATGGGGCCTAGAATAAAACCTTGAGGGACACCACATGTAAATGGAGCCATCCCGGAGGAATAATCAGCCAGGTGGACAGAGAAACTCTGTTAGGTAGGACTTTAACCACAGCACCTTTAATCCCGACACAAATATGACAACAGGATTGAGTGATCGACAGTGTCGAAAGCAGCTGTCAGGTCTAAGAGCACCAGGCCAACTTTCCTAATTCAACAGTTAAAATCAGATCTTTAAAACCCTGTCAAACACTTTTATCAAGGTGTTATTTTTATATTTATTTATTTTCACTTTAATTTTGATTTGGCGATAGCAAATGACTGCTATTTATAATAATGCTAAGCATAGATCAACTGACAAGATGTCCTGCTAGGATATTTGGTGAAAAGCCATTGTACCTATTACACAGACGTGGTAACTTCTCTAATCTGCTTGGCGTGTGCCTCAAAAGCTCAACTGTGTGCCAATGGAAGGTGATGTCTGTAGTTACACTTACTTGACTAATTGTGCATTACATGGGTGTGAAAGCATTCACATGCTCCATCAAAACATATGACAAGAATCAGTAGCATCATGAAAGATGTAACAGTGAAACCAAGTGAAAATCTGCATCTCCTCAAACAGGACAAAAAAAGCTACAAGTGTCCTCAACACGCTGCATGAAAAATATCACTGAGCAGTGAAGAGCTCCTCTTGTAAAACCACTGAATGAATCCCAGCTGTCTCCAACTGATCCCACTGTGTATCACATTAATCATGACTATGGGATCATTTCCATTGTAACAGCCACAGCATCTGCATCCTTACTGTGGTTTGGAGTCAAAAGAACTCTGGGTCTTAACCTTTATTCTTTTTCAGTATCTGCTGTTATAAATATGATGTTGAGATGCTGAGGTCTGAAGAAAATGAACAAAATGAAATGACTGGTTGATTTTACATGTATTTTAAAAAGATGCGTTGAGTGTAAATCAGTTAATCTGATTTGTTCTTGAGTGAAATGTATTTCTTCTAAACAATATTGTATTCTCTCTGAAGCCAAAAAGCTCAAAATATAAGACTAACACAAAAATTACTCACATATCATCATTATTCATAATATAAAGTATATTTTACCCCCTTTTCCTTCCCTGCAGTGAACTCTCGGAGCTGCAGCTATGCCGGAGTATTCCTGGTTGAGGGAAACGACCGTCACTCCCTCAGCTTTGCCACAGCACTAAAGGTGTGTGAGCAGCTCGAGACCACTATGGCAAGTCCGGAACAAGTAGAAGAGGCCTACGCCAAAGACATGGAAACCTGCAGGTGAAACTACAAGTCTTTGTACAAAAAATGTTAATTATTTAAATCAAATTGTTAAATCAAATGTACACATTGGACCTTTATGATGAAGCATTTACAGGGCCTCATAAAGTGGATCTTCCTAAAGATGTCTTCTCACCTGAAAGTTCGAACCATAGTCTAAACCAAGGTTCAAGTCTTTGTTACACTGCAAACATTTGATCTGGTTTTGTTTTCACAACAAAATGAAATCGTTGGACACAAATGAAATCGTTGGACACAAAGACTACAAGCAATCCTGCTTCTTTTTCTTCTTCCAACTTCTCTAAATGCACGAGATCACCACCACATCTAAAACCAGAAAAGAGGTGGCAGGTTTTCCAGTCGGGTGTTACACATTTGTCATGTGGCAGAAATCAAACAAACTTCCAATAAAACAAAACGCAATGAAGCATTTGTTCTTCAACCATGTTTAAATTAGTTACGTTTTACATGTGATGTAATGTGTTCCGACAAGGCTACTTGGAGACATCTTGCATCGACAAACGTCTCTAAATTGTGTCCGAAAATGTCTTCTAATAATAACTTTGCTGTGTCCATTCAGGAACGGCTGGATCAACAATGGGAGCATTGCCATCCTCAGACACTCGCACCATGAACTCTGTGCAAAGAACATGAGCGGCTTCATTGTTCATCTATACTTTAGACCAGATGAACTCTTTGACGCCTACTGCTACGACGACAAAGGTGACTATAACAACAGGAAGTAGTCAGTTGCAGTTATGTGAATTTACAATTTTCATCTCTCAGACCTGTTGCTGTGTGCGTCTCCATTTTGGTAACATCTCCTTCCTGTACACCATGTTTCAGTTGGGCCTGAGAAGAACTGTGAAAAAGCCTTTAAATCCACTGGACATTTACCATCAGATGAACCAGGTCAGTTTTATTCACCCTCAACTTAATTATACTCATATGTTGCCATATATCAAAAGTTTAAGCACTGACATGAACTGATAATCAAAGCTTTAAAATGATGTATGTACATACAGCACTGTTTCTATCATTACACATACTGACTTTTAGAAAACATGAACTGAATAAAACCTCAGTCTCGTTAGTGAATGATCTCATCGCCAACATCCTCTCAGCTCTGAGCTACATTTCCTGTGATGGGACATATATTCAATGCAGATCAATCTGGGTGACAACTTATCAGTTACTCATCCTATCTCCCCTTTGTGCTTTAAACTGAACTGAATACCACTTATGACACTGTAGTAACATTTTGCATTGCCTCATTTATCTGAGCTGAGAAAGAAATGCAGCAAATGCAGAAAAATGGATTGAATGCACAAAATCACAAATAACACAGTGTAGTAAAAAATATACTATCATGTGGGATCTCTGAGATCGAAACCATATCAACCAGTCATTTGACACTTATGTTAAGAAGCATAATAAACTAAAATTGTGATTTCGAATGTTTAAAATTTAAAGAGAAGACAGATTGTTAGTGTGTCAAGCAAGAAGTGAGTCATTTTGTTCTGTCATTCATGTACCACTTTCTCAATAATGTAGCACTATTTAACTATACATATTATGCAGTAATGTTATATGAAGAATGGCTCAGCATAAGAATAAGAAACTCAGCTTCACTGATAAACTCTACCATGCATTTTAATATGTATTGTAATAGTACAACGTAAATGTTTGCATGATACAACTACATCAGATGATGAAGTGAACATCATGCTCTTCTCCAATCAGCTGAGCCCTCACCACTGCCTCAGATCCCAACAATATCAGGCGATGCAGAGCCAGGGTCCACTCTCCAGTCACAACCCAAGGACCCTTCTGATATTGAGGGTGGTGACATCACAGCAGCTCTCTGGGAATTGACCACAGTCATCACCACTAATCCCACAGAACTGAGTGCAGAGGATCCAAAGGCTCCCACACCCGACCGGGCTGTGGATGAAAACCCCCTTGGTGGGAGTGAGAACAGCACGGGGGTGCTCCCTTTCACTCTCGAGGACCTCGACCAGTCCACTGGATCTGGGATGACGCCAGTCGTCTCTGAGGACGAAAGAGTCTCTCCGACGGCCCCTGTTGGAGAGCCAAGGAAACCACAGGCTCCCAGTGAAAATGGGGAGACTGGGGGCACAGAGCCTGAAAGAGATGACGTCACCAAAAAGCGTAAGGGAGTCACATGAAAGGTTAAACAGTGCACAACTGATAGAAATCAAAAGCACAACTAGACAGCAGTTAGTTGATTACAACTCAGCTCTTTACTTTAATCAATAAAACAACTCAGTGGTACAAACTATATTCATGTATTTGTGGAGACTGATGATTTATCAGTTTTTGGAGTACGTTCTGCAAGTTTACTGGTCAACCCTCTACACATCCACAAAGATGAGGATTGAAAATGGTGACATTTTAGTTCATTTGTGCTCTAAATATATTCACCGCTTTAAAAACATCACATCTACATGAGCTGCAACAGGTTTCGAGGGAACTGAAGTAACTTTAAGAACACAGGACGCCCCCTTGTGTCAGTTTGAGCAGTGGAGTAAATTTGTTACTAAACAGGCTTCAGTGGTTTCAACACTTTGATTTCTTTGGTGAATTCAAAAAACACCTTGAATATAAAACTGTGTGTTAAAGACATCGAAGTGGATATAAATATAGTTCAGCTGGCTGCACATGTGAATTCAAATCAAATCCATTCATCAGATTACTTGCAGGATTTGGTGCTACAAAGACTTGAAAATACAAAATGTGATTTAGAGGAGATTCTTTTGGATACAGCCACAAAAACTGCGCTTTAAAACATGCTTTAAAGCAAAACGCTTTAAACATGCTTTTATCCTTATTATGTGAGTGAATAATCTGTATCTAGGATTCAATGTTTGCCTTTTGTTTCATCAACATGCAGCTCCACAACAACCAAATGGCAAAGGACAGGTTCAGGGTCCTGATGAGCCGGAAAATGACCAAAAGGAGGGCAGCACTTCACTGGGTGAGAATATTTCCTATTCCTATTCTCTCCTGACAGTGACCTTTTATTTCCAACTGACTCAGCTTTAATACTGTCGACTCCTGGCTTCTTATTTCTCCCTCCAGACTGGCTGGTAATCATTGGGGTGATTGTGGCAGTTGCTGCTATTCTTTTCGTATGTGTAGCTGTTGCCAAAAGAAACAGGTAGGACCTCAGTTTGTATTTTCATTTCATTATTAAACATGTTATTTGTTTTGGAGCAGTAGACATTAGCCAGTTACACATATTCTGCTGCAGGCTTGAAAAAACTGTAAATACTAAACAAATGTCTATGTCCAGTTTGTGCAACAAACGACAGACGCTGATGATCACGTCCAAGGATGGTGGCGAGGGGAACGGCGCCACAGCATTGGCATCCAGCTCCCAGGAGCGAGAGCAGGAGATGGTGACCCTCATGAACAAGGAGAAGATCCAGGAGAACGGCAACACAGAGGAGTTCACCGTCATCACGCTAGAGGAGTCACCGGATAAAGAGCAGCAGGCATGAGGCGGGAGTCGTGGAATTTGAAGGCGAAGAGGGAGAGCGTGAGGCGAAGGGGGAGAGAGTATAGACAGACGTGGGTTGGGGGCTTCAAACACTGGAACCACTTTGGTGATCAGCAATGAATGGAGGCTGAGTGTGTGTTACTATAGAACGATTGTGTTACTATAGAACAATTGTCTAACTTAAGTGTTTTGGGTCTGAAGCTGTTGCCCCTCAGAGAGGACCAGGTCTTTTCAAATGTGCAGCATTTAGTTTGTGTTGTATCCCAGATGGTGACCTTCATGTGGTGAGCCTTAGTTCAGAATGAATGAATGCTGAGCACGGTGGGGTGTCATGCGCGGGTGCGTAGCAGGGTGTGCAAGTGCGTTTCGTGTCTTGTTCTTTGTGTTTGTTAGAGTTGTGCGCTTGTGAGTTGATGACGGGGCTGGAGAGGCATGGGTTTAAAGGGGGGGGGGGGTCATTTGTGACAAACATATTAATTACAGATTATTCTCTTTGTAATAGAATTGGTGAATCCTAAATGTAGGAAGTCGATGATGAAAATTTTGTTATTTTATTTGAGATTCTGCAGACAGGAAAAAAAAGAATTTTCATGTGTTTTCATTTTGTTTGCTGAATGTTGTAACCTTGTGTATATTTCAGACGTTGCCTGTGGACTGAAGCTTGTTTTTATTCCGAAAAATATAAGAAAAAAACCTGAGGATTAATACCTAATTTATGCATCTTTCAGTCCCCTTTTTCTTTGGTCTTTGTATATAAAGTACATGTTTGGAAATGCCTTAGCATTAGATGCCCATGCTTTCTTTCTTTTCTTTTTTTGGCAGGTTGGGGCTTTATATCCCCTTTAAATAGAAGAATGTGTTAATTTAGAAATTTAATTCAATCAGACAAAGTACCCCTGAGGTAAAAATGGATTTTGCAATATTGAGTATTGCATGAATCAACTTGATCATCCAAGATAATATGGTATAAATTTATTTTGATTCCTTGATGTTATCCTGAGGATAAGCAGAACAATTATCATGATGTGTATGAAAACACAGTGTGTACTTTGATCAGGGGGGAAACAAGCAAAAGATTTGAATTGAATCAGTAGCAGATAGATCATTTTGTAAATGCGAGGTTATTAACTGAGATGCGCAATATCATATATGATATTCAGCATCAACTAAATATCACATGATGCACAGCCCATGTGCTGCAAAGACTTGACAATGTAAAGGTCTTCTTCTATTGAAATGTTTTCTGATCGGAGATGAGGGGATGATGGAGCTTGTGTTCTGGTCTCAACAAACCACTCACAGGGAAATGCTGCAGTTTTTTGCTACTGACCTTCTCATTGGCTAAATATAACATACATTGTGTCACATCAGTTTTATTCCTGGTTTGACCACTTGTTTTTTTTCTGGTGTAAAGCTGAACTGTAAACACATTTTGGTTGTTTCATTGTCGCTCCTGCTGTTTGCTCTTTTATCATTCATTCTGACGGGAAGTAGCAGCCGTAGTCGTGTAGGCAGGTTTCATGACCAATTAACAAAAGATGTTGCTGGTTAAAAAAAAAAAGATTTGTGAAGTCATGAACGAAATAAACGTGTATAGAAAGAGATGGAATGTGGTGTTCACTCACTGATTGCTCACTGTGAGCCAAGACAAAGGCGAGCGAGTGAATGGCATGACAGGGGATGCGAATTGTGACGTTGCCCCCCCGCCCTCCGCCCCAACATAAGAAGAAGTGAGGTTTCCATGGCACCGGGGTCGTGATGAGAGAACACGCTAACACAGAATACAAAGACGGCCATTTTGAAAGAGTTAAACTGCATGCAGCTCAGTTGGCATGAATTTATTTTGATGTCGGCAATAAACATTACAAAGCTGTCTTTCAAAGTTAAATGATTTTTACTGAATTTCATTTAGTGGGCTGATCGAAATAGAAAGAATCCCGCAGATTTTTATATTTTTATGGCATGTAGTGTTTTGTTAAACCGTAGCCTTTCCTTTTGTGTTGCTATCATGTCAACTTTATTTCCCTTGAGCAGATACATATAGTGAAGAGTTAAATATGTTTTCACACGGTTTTCATGTCCACATTTAGATGTGTGATTTACGTGACATGTTATGACGTGTAAATCATTTAGGTTGTCAGACCACATGATGTTTTCTTTACTATAAAACCAATTGAATGTAGGGTTCTTCATCCTTGGCAGAGATGCACACACTCTCTGTGTAAGGTGTCTATATTGTTAAATCTCACAAACATGAGTTGTTGTTTTTCTTCAGCATGTGCATCATCTTTAAAATGTAATTGATTACTCAATCCCTTATTGGCTCTGCAGGGACATAAATGACCAAAGCCGCTGAGATGCCTTTAGGAAAAGCTAATAAACAGATTATTGTCCATTTCTGAATATTAAACAATAGTCATTTAAAGATTGTAGATAATATCAGTTTGCATTCAAACTTGGACCATGACACAAACATTTATCTCTTTGTGAAAATGTGCAAAAATCGAAAGAGGAAGCAGAATTTAGTTATGAATCAACATTTATTAGTTATATTTGTATATGTACACCAAAGGTACAACACTTGATATGTAGAAACAGATTTTTTTGTGTATACCATAGACCGAGGAAAGAATTCATGTTTTTTTTTTTGTCTTTTTTTTTCTCGATAGTGTATCTCCCCCACACATATGCTCTGCCTTTACATCAGAATTACAACAACTTTACAAAGAAGAAAGAAGGCCTAGAAAAGTAAGATGAGGAAAGCATGTTGTAGGCAGGAGTGAGACGGGTTATCAGCTCTACTAAGGTATTTTCCTCCAAAAGACAGTAGAAAAGGACAAGCTTGATGATATACTGGCTCTTTGTCGAAACACTGTGTTGGTCAATATCCATGTGATCGGTACCGTTTCACTCAGGTGTCTGTGTGTGCATATTCTGTTTAGAAAGCGAACGAAAAGGCGTGCGGAATAAAGGCAGATTATGGAGTTGGGATTTCTATCAGCCTCCATGATGTTGAGTCTCAGTGGGTAAAATGTGTGACGATGCAGCACGTCGACACCGGATCTAAAAGATCCAGATCTCTGCACAGGGTAAACAAAGACGCCTGAGACTAAAGCCACTTTACTCCACTGAAAAGACAAAATGGTTCAGATGAGTCACCTGAGGAATGTTGCTCGATACTGTAACAGGCATCTGAATACATGATGTTTGTTCTCTCGCTCAAATCTGCGTCTATGGGTCGTGTTGGATTCCTCACTCTGCTCTACGTCCTGGGCAAGATTAGTTCCCTTTAATACGTCTCTCTTCTCTTCGCCTTAATCACAGTATAACTCCCTCCTAAATAACTCATGTTGGCCCCTATAGTCAAAGCAAAAACATTCCCTTTCTCTCTTCCGTCCTCTTTCTCTCTTTCCAACTCTCTTTTCCCCTTTTCTTTTCTTGTCGTCATGCAAACAGCGTTTGCGTCAGTATCACTGTAATTCTGGAAAACTCTGCATTGCCATTGAACAGAACAATTATATATTTATTTATGTACAATGAAAATGAATGCACACGGCTTATATCTTCATGGAACAAACATTCAAAACGCTTACATTAGATACAAAAAAAAATGATATATATATTGGTGTGTGTGACAGGTCAGTAAAACAACTAGTTAAGCTATAAGAGAATAAAAAAAACAAGCAATTTATTACACAGTTTTCCTTTCTATACATTTGTATCTAATCTAATTTTACTCAGGACACAGATGATATTTTTTTCTTTCTAGAGGATTACATGAAAAATGTCACAGCAATGAAACTATACTCCTACATACCATTTCAACGTCCCCCAAGAGAAAACAAAAAGGAAAAAAAATCTGTTACCTACAATATATACACAAAGTGCGAGGAGGCACTTCAAAATATCATGCTTTTAAGATAG